TGTGGTAGGTTTTTCCAGTTTGATGGCAGCAAGAGAACGAGAGGTAACCGACTTAAGTTGCGCAAACCGCAGGTGCGGCTCAGGTCGAGACAGGAATTCTTTACTTGCAGAGTGGTGAACGCGTGGAATGCGTTAGATGACGAAGTAATGGCTGCCCCGCGCTGTGACTATCTTTAAGAAGAACTGGATGCTTTCATGGACAGGCAAAAAGGTGGGGGGCAATGTTCGCGTTAGGTACTAGACAGTAAGTAACTAGGATAGTCAAATAACAAAAAATAAAAAAATAAAAAAATAAAACAAAACAAAAATACAAAAATATATAGTTTCAAGTGGGTTAGGCCTACCCTAAAATTAAGGAACGCTCGACCACGACACGTGATATCGAAATGGGCGAAATCGCCTCTTGATATCACTATCTATCTTGAAAGAGAGTCCATCCTATCATGAGTGATTTGTAGAGCTGGATGACACCAAATGAAATACTTGGAAAAGTTAGACAAGGACACTGCTTAAGGGATTAACCAGGAAAAGCCACTACTTTGCAAGCTAAGATTGAATAGTCCTCTTTTGGGGAACGGAAAGAAAGGCGATCAAGGAAAATAGTATTCCTTTGAAGAAACTGCACTTTATCCGTGTCCGCTCCTAAATGCGCTCCCCTTTTTAAATCGCACTTCATGGGATATTATATTTAGATTTGAATACAGGACCTTCCAGACAATGACTGTTTCCTGCAGTCATCATGGAAAGATAAGGACTTCTTTCTTAGGGAAATATGACATGCACTCCTCATTGTTGTCTAAGGATCGACCAAGGGACTTGAAGTCATATAAACGTATGTGCATTCGAGGTCTGACAATAAAATAACGAGACTGACAGCACTGTAATGTGTGTGGCAAACGCTGGGTTACTGGCGATTTTTGTAACCTGTCAGTGCATGTCTTAAGTCTGTGCCGTAACAAACTTGTCGTGATAATTCTAGTGATTGCAGAGCAGTACCACTTTACCTTAAGTCGTATTAGGGGCACTCGCAATAATGGGTGATAATATTATGAACAAAGAATCAACGTGAAATTTCTAATCAAACTCGGAAAAAAGCAACTGAAGTCTTTGAAATTTTGAACTTTCCGATAAAATCAATCGTACTGTCTCTCTATTGATACATACTTCTTCAGTAATTATTCTGACAATAAGACGACGATCACTTTGAACCAGAATTCTCACAATTTCGATGCTTTCATCCGATTTTTAAATTGTCGGACCTCCAGATAGTCTATCAAACTCAACTTCATTCCTTCCTTCAGAAAAGCGTTTACACCATTCAAAGGCATTTTGCTCTGGACTAAACCTCATCTCCGTACGCTTGTTTCAGCATTTCAAAGACTTCAGTTGGTTTTTTCCCGAGTTTGATTAGAAATTTCATGTTGATTCTTTGTTCATAATATCATCACCCATTTTTATTACGAGTGCCCCTAACACTACTTTAGGTAAAGTGGTACTGCTCTGCAATCACAAGAAGTATCACGACAAGTTTGTTAATCCACAGACATAAGACATGCACAGACAGGTTACAGCAATCGCCAGTGACACAATGTTGCCACACGCATTACAGTGCTGTCAGTCTCGTTATTTTATTGTCAGACCTCGTACAATATATACAGGGTGGCTAAAAAAACAAGCTATTCACTTCAACGTGCTGTAAATCAGGCTGCAGTGCTTGATTTGAGCAGGCTTTTAGGTACATATGAAGAAACTCTTTTGGAACAGATATACAATTATATGGTATGAAATCACAAATTTTTTGCTTCATCAGGATGAAAATTACTGTGTCGCAGCAGCGACTGCTGTTGATATTTGGAACACATTTCATTTCCTTTATCAATGTTTTAAGATGTGTTTCTTCCTATTCCAACAATTTTTTTTAGAACAAAGCAATACCGAGTTACTCACTTGAAGACTTGGCAGTGATCAAGACCTGAGTTTAAAAGTGATAGTAAGTCAGAAAAATGATTAATGAATTTTCTGGTAAAACAAATTTCCAGGTTGATACTCCTGATTCAACATGTGCATTTCAACTTTTTCAGAATTCACTTCAGTTCTTTGGGTTCTGGGCCTTCAACTACCTTGCTTTCAAGTCGCTGATCCTGTTTTTAAACCCGCAAGGTCTTGCTTGATCACAGCGAAGTCTTCATGTACGTGTACATAGCTTGGCATTGTCCTGCTTTAGAAAAAAAATATGGGGGAAGGAAAAAGCACATCTTAAAACATTGACACAGAAGATAAAATGTGTTCTTATAAACAACAGCTGCCTCCGCTCAAATGGCAGCTGGGTACTGTTGCAGCCGTTTTCCAAATGGGGGTGGCCATTTTCATCCAGATGAAGCAAAAAATGTGTGATATTATGCCATATCAAGTTTATACCTGTTGCAAAAGAGTTGTTTCATGTGAACCTTAAACTTTACTTAAATCAAGGCACTGCAGCCTGATTTACAGCACGTTGAAGTCAATTGCTTGGTTTTTTTTTTTGAGCCACTCTGTAGAGTCTTCTCTACCCTCTGGAGTGAGAAAGGTTTCAATAGTGCGATTCGCAAAAACACTCAATAAGGGCTCTGAAAAAAAGAGACCGAGAATTACATGAATGAAGGCTAAATCGGTCTATTAGGCTGACGTACTTAGATTTAATTTCCTTTATATTTTTCCAAAAAAAACCATTAAAGTGATTTCGGATGCATCGTGGTTCATGGACCATTCCACCCAATACCCAATTAGCATGCAATAACTTAACTTGCTGGAGAATTAATCCATGAAGAAATTCAAGTACTTCAGAAATTCTATTATTTACATATTCAAATCAAGAGCATTGGTTTTTCATGGTGAAGATCTGAAGTTCGACTCACTGCAGTTTCTATACCATTGATCTTCAGTGGGAACGTGTGAGATGCAAGAGCATCTGACAAGGTGGCATTAACAGCGTATGAAGAGCTGCGTTTGTCTGCAGGGGTGGTAAACGTCTTCGTCTTCGTGAGGCGATTCGAGACAATATTTTCAGTGGCTGTTGTGCCGTCTCCAAAATCCCATGCCACAGTCGCTGATGTTGGGGAGTCAGCACACGAAGCACATGAGAACTGAAGCAACACCTCACCTATTTCATACAAGCTCATTATTTACAATGAACTCCTAAAAATACTTTACACGTGAGGACGACTCCTAGAGCCAAATTTGCGTTCATTACAGGAGTGAAACGCGAAACACTAATCAATAATGGATACTTCTTTTCATCTAGATTGGTACAACAACCTTCTTTCAACAGAAACAAACTTTAATGAATGAATACGCATACCAATATAGCGAGTGTAAAAAATATGTAAGAGATTTTGAAGCGGTGTATCTTGGGTAGGTTTTCACAATTTTCTCTTTTGCAGGATTAAGTGAGAGAAGTTTTGAGATTCTTAAGAGAAAATATGGATTAATAGTACTGAACATGACAACAGAACACAACAACACTGCTGACAATAGAAAAGAGGATAAAAGTGGTAGAACTCTTCTTGGACTGAAAGACGGTGGCTGAAACTCAAAGGCGTTACCGTCGTCACTTCAATGTGCGAACTATGCTGACTGATAACACGATTCGCAGCATTGTTAAGAAGTTCTGAGGCAAGGGAGCAGTTATAAAACAAAACAAGTGATCAGAAATAATTCAGAACTAGAAATCAAAACAGCCCTGATGTAAATATGCCATTCCACTGGTAACTGTACCACTGCGGTTATCATCTTCGCTACATCCTAACAATCTAACTTTGACATAAATAATGTCTGTCATTGGTACGGCATACACTCTTAGAAAAAGGGAAGCGATTTTTCTCAAAAAAAAGGAGAGTAAAATCGCTAACCCCAGTTTCACTCCCCTTTCACTCTGGGAAAGGAGCGAACTTTCTCCATCACCAAGGAGTAAAATTGCTCTTCTCCGTGAGTAAAGATGCTCCCCTCAGAAAGTGATAGGGATGTCATGCAAATACGAAAATTCTCGTATATAGTTTGTGTCGCTTTCGCACAGGCGTGTGACTGAACCTCTGACTGAACTGATTACGGCACATGTCAGAGCATGTATCACCTTTTATGTTTCCGTAGAGTGCCTGGGATATGAGTCCTTCACTACCTAATCTAATCTAATCGTTGAATGAAGTCCACGACACCCTTTAAATTCTAGATTCTAGACTTCCTATGAGGATAAAACCTTACGCTTTCCAAAAAGGTTCTCAAAAAGGAATATGAGCTTGTTCATGGCCTGGACTCTATGAATGTATCTTGAATATGTGGATAACAAATGATGAAGTGTACTTGTTTATTGATTCCTATAATGAGACTAGAAGAGACATATGTCAAGGTACTAAACAATCCTGCGAGGAACGATGAAAGAAGGAAGAAGGGAGGGAACTTTTTGGTACTGTGCGAAAAACGAGACCCTTACCTCCATCTAGTGACCAGCGAAGAAATTCAAGGTGTTCACTTGTGTGAGTGTAGGCCTATATAAAACCAGACAACTAGACGTGTTTTCGATGGCCTGCGCATCCGCATCGCTTGGAGATGAGAGAACAGTATGATGTGCAGGATGCCAGATGTGGCTTTTCATGCGTACGCCTAGCAACCCTGTCTGCGCAGCCGAGAGCAGTCGCTCTCCCCCATTGTCTACAAGGATCCATCAACTACGAGGGCTGGAAGGGAAGTGGATGTTTTAGTGGGAGACTGGCACCTCGACCCAGGCGGAAAGCTGGGCGTGTGCAGCGGGTTGTGCTGCCCGGTTGCTATGGATACTGCGGACAGCCGGAATGAAAAAAATAATAATACATAAAAAGTGACAGATTGATCGCAACATCTGCCATTTCCGCAGGTTGGATTGTAGGCATGAAACGACAGAGCCATGTCTTCACCTTTGACGTTTATTCAGCTTAAGTCAGGAACATCTTGAGGAAACATTGCAAAAAGGCTCATTACTGTTGTTCAAAGAGAGAAAGTCAACGCTCCCTCTGAAATGAACATTGTGTAGCGCATCAAATTTGCTCTTTTTACGTGGTTTTCCTGCCATTCCATGAAGTAAACGCAATAAACTCAATATAATTGTTTCACGAAACATATGGGAATGACAGATAATAAGAGAACATCGGGAGGCCTAGAACCGTCCATACTGGGGGCAAATATTGAGTCAGTCCGGCAATCAATGACACAGAGTCCCAAGAAAACCTCATCGGAGACGGTCACAGGAACTGAGGTTGTCGGCCACATCCGTTCAGAGAATCATGAAATAAGACTTTAAAATATTCCCCTACAGAATTCAAGTGGTGAAAAAGCTAACCGATTCTGACAAACTTGTTCGAATCAGATGAGCACCTGGCGAAGAGCACATTAGTTTGTCTCCAAGTGATCGAGAACTTCTCACAGCGAATAAACGAATGTCTCAATCGTCTCAGTGAACACCTCGAACATGTCATCAGGAGATTAACAAAAAACAATGTGCTGAAAATACACTCCTGAATTGATTCACACTGTGCATGATATAACTTTATGATGTAATTTTGTTTCTTAGTTATTAAAACTTAAAATCCATTATATATTATTGGCACCCCTGTACATCGATTTTGCATGAGTGGTACATTTCAGCTTGCCAGATATGTCTTACGAAGGCATCTTATCGAACTTAAGCTGATTTTTTGTAGATGAACCAAACAATAAAGGAATGCATGAAACCCACCTGGAGGAGTCAAGACAATTCCGTCCATCAATCCGCTTTCAATTGTGAGCTCCCAGTCGTCTGCAAGTGAATCTACTATTTTGATTTGTGTAGATACCATCTGGGAATTCGCTTTTCCTGTGAGTGGTCCCGCGGCGTTTCTTGCTTCTATTGAAATGTTCTTAGTACCCGTCGTGTTAAATGAATGGCTGAAGTTGTACTTCTGCGTAGCGTCAACTGCATCAACTACGGGCAAACAAGCAAAGAAAAGAAAGAAGCATCGAAAACATCAGAATATAAATTTTACTTGGGTAGAGGTCACCAGGGAAAATAAAATTTCACCAAAAACACAAGACCATGTAACTCATTCCAGAAACTAGAGCTATGAGAAAGGCTAAACGGGCTAGGAAATACTGCATCTGTCAATTATCATGTTGCATTCGACTTTTAGGATGGAATACGAGTGGGACTGCACTGATGGACACATTTGGCCAATGAACCAATGACCGATTATTATCTCATAACTTCCGGCCGGTGCCTATGCCGATGTCGATTGTGGCATGAAAAGAAACAGCGAGGAATCATTATATCAAGTGTACATGGTGCTTCTGTATAGAGCCCGGAATTGTTTTTCGAATAACTTTTCTTGTACAGCACAATTTCAGTTCGTCGAGGTCTCATTGGAAGGAGCAGGGTTTCCCATATTACCTACACTTTGAACTTCATCGATTCATACAACAGTATGAATACGGATATGGTAGATGGTGTAAACACCACACTTGGTCTTTCTCGAGAAAAGTTGAAAATTTTATAAGTTTGAATGCGACAAAAATACAGGCAACACGAGTGCAAATTTCAACACGTCCTCTGTTATTTTGGATGGACTTGCGCTGCCTTCGGCAGTAGGAAGCAAGGGTGTTCTCGCGCATATTTGATCTCTGCAAAGGCGTTGACAATGAGTTCGAGCTCGTCCAGATCGCTGATGTTGGCGGTGGAAACATTGCTTTTCACGAAGCCCCATGAGAAGAAATCTGCTGCAGTCCACGATCGTGGAGGTCGCAATTTAGCCACAAACTAGCAACATAACATGACAGAAAGGGTGGTCTGGTGTGCTGTGTTACAGTGGCGCATAACGAAAATAAGTGGGATGCGCGCCAACAGAGGTTTCTCAGCACTCACTGCATCAATCGATAACATTGAAAGGGCGCATAAAATGGGAAGCCCTACTCTTTCGAGTGAGATCTCAATTAGCTAAAACTGTGCAGTACGAAAAAAGTTACATAAAAAACCAATCCGGGGTTTATACAGAAACACCCTGCATATTTATATTATTATTAAATTACCATTAAATACACCAATTAGGAAGCCACGTTCAAAATATGAATGTCACGATGGTTGTTTCAAAAACTTCAAAGAATCGACCTGAACTATAGATTTTGCATCGGTGCACCGGAGGAAGGGGGTGCCGGCGGATTCAGTCATTTTTCGCACTATTGAACGGAGGTTTGACGTCTCTTGTCTAGATGGGATGGCAAACATATTTCCATCATCTCTCACCTGTGATGGGGGGGGGGGAACTGGCAGCTTGAAAATCTGCCGATGGCCAATGGCACTGATGGCGTCATACCGACTACTGATATCGGTGGTTATCGGTACATCGGTACAGTACATAAGAGTGCATCACTGACTGTCAACGTATGTGTTCCAAAAAACTGATCACTCTCTGGACAGTCTCATCTTCCTGTTGCATGTGGGATTCGAGATAATGAAAACCAGAGCCTCGTCTGAAACGGCTATGAGGACTTACTGGTAGCTTCCTGCACCATCGTCCCGGTTCCATCATCCCAGAATATGTTGATTATTGCCGGGGAGCCTTGATCCATCTGGATGACGAATTCAACATCTTTTCTGACAGCAAAGACAGAACTTGGCTTCGGTTGGAGGATCTGCAACGAAACATTTCACATCGTATCAGGATTCGATTACGATGAAATTAAGGATAACAAAAGCATAAATCAGGATTCCAGAAGATTGGTGATGCATTTCATGTCGAAAGAACATCCATACATAAGATTTATTCGCATCACTATGCTGAACATCACCATATGGATGAAAAATCAATATGGTGTCTCATAGTGTGGTATTCTCTTGTACGCTTGTAAATAACAGGTAATTGAGCACGTGGGTTACTTTCGGCAGTGTCTCGCAAAAAATTGGAAACTGGATGTACGAGGATGCTCCTACTCATACAATGACTTTACCAACGAAGTTTCAAAGGCTTACATCCTATCACTGTGTCGAATAAACAAGTTCAATGAAGATAAAAAGGAGTCGGAAAGGTTAGTGCCTTGAAATGCGGTGTGATACAGCAGTCAGATGACTGGTGTACAGCACTCAGATGCGAAAACGATGAACCACAGCTCATTACTTGAAGACATTTGCATGCATAATAGTGCAGCCATTAGTTTGGCACATAACAGGCGGCGGTGAAGTACAGTCAATCAGTTCTCGAATGGCGCTGTGAAAACATATATGAACAGCATTCGATATAGTGCAATTTTATTTGTCGAATGGATTCTGTTTCTGCACCTCGTTTGTATGCAAATGGCCTTCCAAGCAACACGTGACGTCCATACAACGTAGTTGCAATGTGACTTGAATCAAATGACGTTGCGGTAAGGTCACATAGACGTCATTTAGATGGATGTATTGCTTGAGCTCACGTCAGCAGCGCCTCCCATTAAACATGGGTTTCATTCAGGTAACCCTTTCCCAATGATGTCCTAATACTATCAATATTTCTGAAGTTTCATTGCGTTGCGGTGCATATTTCGTGCGCTACAGTGCTGTACTACCGCCAACCAACTTATCTGTCACCATGAACGAGAATGTGATAACTCACCTGGAGATTGACGATTGGGATATAGGGATCGATGTTGACCTCTTGGTATCCAGAAGGAACCCATCCTTGTGCTTCATTGTAAAGTTCCACTCCAAATCTATATTGGCCACCCTATACAATAGAGTTAAGAGTGAATTGTAGAAGGCAGAACTTTTCAAGAGACATGCCTCAGGTGCAAAATTTTTCAACGGAAATAACATCATTTAATACCTTGAAATTCAGCCGAATTCCAAGATGTAATACGCTGTGTCCGGATGACCTTCGGTGCTCACTATAAATTTGTAACCTCTATGATTTCGTTACAATTCTTTAAAAAAATTTCCCGCATTTTAAAAAACAATTGCTTTACTAATCAAGAAGTAGAGGGAAGTTCTTTTCACACGAGTTGTTTGACACCATGAAGCCCTTGTTTGTCAATCAGCTCTGCACATGGAGGGAAGAACGCATGTGCAAATATTAAATGTGAGTTGTAAAGAGACTGAATAATTACCGTTGCCCTTGCTCATAATGAAAATTTCCTATAAAAAAGTTTTTGTCGTCGATGCATTCGGCATCATCAAACAAAGCCCCAGGCAGCACACCCACGTTTTACCAACGATCTTGGCTTCTCGCATGTGTGGTGGTGGCCATACGTTGGGAATTACCATGATGCTTTAGTAAGTTTGTCCCTCGGCCCCATGTTAAGCCAACATAAATGACCAACGTAGGGAACCCGCATCGGGCCAACATTAAAGGCTGACTGCGACACGCCTTTCATGCGCTTATTAACCCAAGAGTTAGCGTCGATATTTGTACACCATTGTTCTGCTTCCTTACCGGGGGAACCTTTCGTCGAGACTCTCTTGGTTTAGCTGGGAATACTCCAACGAGTACTACCTCTCTTGCTGGTCTCCATGTAAGGTATGCACTTACCACAGGAGATAAGTAACCTCTGTGAATTCATCTATCATCCATCTGGTTCGTCTCCCATTCTGGAAGTACTTGACAAAAGAGATCACCCCTCTGGTGATCTCGACGATCTTTTGCCACATCCGTATTTACATTATTTTGAAGAGAAATTAGACACAGCCTCCACAATTGGAGGGCTGATAAGTAATTTACCCTCACCCAATGGAGACAGGTTCCTAGTTGAACCACCCTCCTCACAAATGCCAGGAGTCCTCCTGGCCTGTTAATCCTGTTTAGACAGACATACGTAATTTACTCAATTTATATGAGAGTTTCGACCATAGAACAATCATAGGGTGGCGAGAAAGCCAGTTGGTCCTAATTACAAGGGAGATACATACTTGTCGTATTCCCGACTTACATGCTGAGCTGGATAATTTGGGCAGTGCAATTCGGAATGCCAAACATGCCATGAATTCGCCCAATATGCATCCTTTTTGACACATGTCCAAGATCTAGAATGTTGAGGCGACAGATTTATGGGAATTCCCTTGCATGATAGGAATTAAGACTGGAATAAAATCTGGAAGTTCCTCGGCTAAGCCTAGGCCACGCCCGCTAAACCCAAGTGACAATAGAGGCTATCCACACATCAAGGTTCGAGGAAAATATATGCGAAGAGAATGGCTGCTGGCGCCATCTCTAAGGTGCTGGCAACTCGACCCTGATAATATACCTTTTTCAGGTGATTCTCAAGCCTTCCTGCAATGACGCTAACCCGCTTTTGCTAATGCAATCGCTTTGCCAGGGATGATGGAAATAGGGAGAGCAGGAGGTCAGTCGATGAGCTGAGGGAGAGGAGAACAGCTCCGACTGTCGACTTTCTGGCCTATCTAGTAGCTTCCGTTTTCTCTTTGTCTCACGTATGTAAGCACATCCCAGTTTCGATTTCATTCTCGATACATTTACGATGGCGCAACTGCGAGAGGGAGAGAGATGTAAAGAGGAACTTGCTCATTAATGTATGACTGAATGGAAATTTCGATTTGTCAGCTCGTCAGGTTAAGGGTCGTCCCTTCTCTGGGGCTTTAGCACCACCAGACAATGGAGGCAGGTTTTACACGTGTTGCGTTTTTTTAATTTTTGGATACCCATTCCATTCATTCCCCCCTCCCTCCCCCCCTACAGTCCTTGGTTAAATCCCATGGAATTCACGTTCTCATCCTTCAAAGGCAGAAGTGAAGAGACGGATAGGTGTGTTGCAGGCCCCAGTTTCTAACCCTCAGTTAGCAGCAGCAGTAGGGATGACTCTTACGAGACATCGATGCCAAATGAAAAACATCTGTGAATAATCAATTCGCAACGTAAATACGGATGCCTCACGCAGATATGCATATGAGCTTTCTTTTCAATGCGTCTATAGGGTGTTAGCCAGAAATCCCATTCATGAATGAAGGCTTTTCGCTTCTCGGCCTCCTGTCGTCTGGATTGTTTCTTATCCTTGATTTGGCCTCGTAGTCTCTCTTGGTTTCTGTCCACGGTAGACTATAGGAAGGTGAAACGGAGACAAAACGGCTTATACTCCCCTCTTCTCGTCCCGTTCTCCATTCCTTCATGAACCCCTGCGTATTCCTTCGGCATGCGGGTAGCCTGTATGGCAGGTATGCCATAGAATCACCTGAAAAAGGTATATTCGAAACTATTTCTCTTTCTGACTGCATGCGTTGAAGAACCTCCCCAGTTCCCAGATCTTCAAAGCGATGGCGTGAGCATCTCTTGAAAGCATTCAGAAATCCCTGAATGAAAAATCGAATAACTCTTTTTTTATTATCGAGTAGCTCATATGTAACTGTATATCGCCACAGTTAATTGCAGCTCAAAAAGTTTTTGGCATATACGCGTACATTCCACTCGTGATGCAATGCCGCAGATATCAACGTAGACTGCTGAGTAATCGGTAACTAGGATGCGGAAGCCGATGAGACCATATTGGGGGGGGGGGGAAAGAGACAATTGTCGAGCAATCATGTTCCGTTTATGGTTCTCCAACACGTGCGTAAACTAATGCGTATGACGTCACGCACAATCGGATATGGACCATGAGTTTGATTTTGAGAACTTTCATCATCAATAAAATATGGGCAACTTAGCTTAATTTTGGCGCTCCATGCAGCTTCGACAGTATCAGATTCTCTATGATGTCATACCTCATCGAATGTTTTCTCCAACCGGGTGATATTGGGATTGAACTCGTCCGTCACGTCCGATTCCACCAAAATGGTGCCGTTATGTTGCTTGTACCTGAACTTCGAAATGACTCCTATGGGAATAAAATCAGACCGATTGATCAATCAACTCCCTGTATTAATCCCCCCTGTATCAATCCACTCCCTCCCTGGTAGGAGATTATTTTCGAAGGAAAGAAAGATTATCCATCACGAACATCAGCGAATCTTCTAAGAAAACACTGAATGGCTGCCAAGTCCATCTTTGACCATACAGAAGTTCCCCTTGCAATTGCACGGTAGTAGCAAGAAAAAGCGAACTCGTTCTTGAGATCAGTTTACCTCCATGATATTTTGGAAGAAGCACAACTGGCCGATGCAGAGGAAAGTATGTCCCATTATCTCCATAGCCGGGAACGAGAGATCCATACACATCCAAGAAATTCACCTCCATGCTGACATCTTCAATTTTTCTCCAAACTTCCAGCTGGGTATAGAAATGCAGGTTGGATTGTAGGCATGAAATGGCAGAGCCACATCTTCACCTTTGATGTTTAATCAGCTCAAGTCAGGAACATCTTGAGGAAACATTGCAAAAAGGTTTATTACTGTTGTTCAAAGAGAGAAAGTCAACGCTCCCTCTGAAATGAACATTGTGTAGCGCATCAAATTTGCTCTTTTTACGTGGTTTTCCTGCCATTCCATGAAGTAAACGCAATAAACTCAATATAATTGTTTCACGAAACAACGGGAAATACCTGTTTATCCACTCCGTTGATATTTAGGTGGATTTCAGCAGATGAGACAGCATTTGACATGTTTACTCTGACAGAGTACAAAGAGCGGTTTGTTCCAGAGACAGTCGTGTACACATTCTTCATGACTAGTTGATTCGAGTCCACTTGCTGACTGTTCGCCTTCTGGTCACCAAAGTCCCATTCTGCTACAGCGACCGTCGGGAGATCCAGGCATGATGAACAGTTCAACGCGAATGTCACCTCACCTGAAAGTGTATGTATGTGCAATGATGACACAATGGCTTCACGGAGAGATCTCATGATAGCATGCAAATATTTCATTCAGGCACTTCATGTTAGGAAAGCATGCGATAATTTTCTGCTCTCGACTTAGAAATAAGTGTTTCCTATTTGGAAAATTGTGAAGCACTGAAAAAACTGGATTTCGGTAGGACGGGGTATGAGACCATCATACATGAAGCATTCTTTGGAGTTTAGCTTCAATATGTAGTCATATATCGTTGCATAGATGCTCATGCCATAGAACAATGCAAGGGATAATTAGAATTCTTGACAGAAGTGTTTTTTATATTAGCAATTGAACAGAATCACCTGCAGTACGAAACGCGTTTTTTATGTCTCATGTTCTTGATGACCTACATATTTACAAGCGTGCTATCCCTAAATGCTATTTTCCTACGTTTCTCTGTCATTGAAGTCAGCTTCTGCATTCTACTCACAGCAGTCAAGATATAGTTATTTGCTATCCATTAATCAAGAGTTGCTCGCTGAAACGTTGTTAGTCTAGGAATACACACAATATGATTTAATAATAATAATAATGATTATTATTGTTATAATAATTATAACATTCATACATTAATTTAGTATGTCATCGAGCACATTTCCTAGTATTTTACTAAACAAATGCACAGCAGTTTGACGGAAGTAATAGGAAACTTTTGCTTAGAGACTAAAGAAACATAGACGATGTAACACTACCTCTAAAGCATTCAGAGTATAATGCAGCGAACCCTTCCTTTCCCAAACTAGGTTTAGGAATGCTGTGAGGTGAGAAATTACTTGACGATCATTTGTACGAGCATTGAAAGATCCCACATCGTATCGCTATACGTACCTGGAGGATCGAGAACAACTCCATTAGTGAGTCCGCTGGCAATTGTGAGGTACCAGTCGTCCTTCACAGGATAGAGAACTTCAAAGGTGACAAACGACTTCTGAGAACTCGGTTGACCGGTGCCAACTACGTCAGCAGCATTCCGCCTTTTTCTTTTCTGCTTTGGTTCATTCCTCACTTCAACGGTAACGTTCTTTACTCCAGCAGAAGTGTAGGATCGATTGAATCGGTACAATGTGGCTGGATCGGCTTCATTGACTGAAAGAGAGAGAAACAAATCTGTATAACGCCGAAAAAGAAACGTAAAATGAGGGATCCAAAAGCATTATCAATAGTAAGAAAGGATGACACACTCGTCGTCTCCAAAATGTCATTCCCAGTTCCATCATCCCAGAAAATATAGACGAGAGCTGGAGCACCTGACCCGATCTTGATGCTCACTTCTATCTCTTCTTCTGTTGCAAACTGTGAGCCTCCCTTTGGATCGATGATCTACATACGAAGTCAAAGCCAAAAGTCTTGTCATACATTTTACCTGTCTAAAATGCTCAATCTTACGGGCTTCTGTAGCCTGATATATGTATAGATATCACTAACTCCTTAAACCTTATTCACTCAATTTCCGTCTCTGCTAACGCAATTTTTGAGTTGTGAAAGAAAGTCGAGGAATTTTATTCCATGTGGATAAAATTCCTCGTCTTGTCAAAGAGCTACTGAAATAGCTGATGATGTATCTACTTGCACTTTTTTTTCCATTTGTAAGATGGCATCATTTCCAACTGTGATCAATGCTTCCCCATCCTGCTCATAGTTCTGATTCGACATCCTCGAATTTTCATTAATTTGGTCCCATATAGATGTGCTTTAAAAGGAATTCGATTTGTAAAACTTGTGACAACCCATGCTGTGCAACACGCCGTAGATCTATGATTTCCTTAACAGGGAGAGAAATTATACTAATGTAGAATACAGGCCTTGTTCAGAAAAGTTCAGTGAAGCTTAGACGAAGATATGTATCATGCTGACATGTGCAATACTGATCAATTTGTCATATTTACGCATAAGCGTAAGTATTATACAGTATAACTTAAGCATAAAGAAGAGACTAGGGTTCAGGACAGTGGACACTGTTGTCAAAAACTAGATGGAGCTGCATGAAAATCTACTGGCAGAGTCGTAATATCACCTCGCACCTCTGTACGAGATTCGCTTGAGATTTGTTGCGATTGGACCAGGTTGAAAATAGTTGTAAATTTTGTCTTGACTAAATATTTTGTGAGATGGGACGATTGACATAGACCACACACGTGTTTCTTACTTCGCGTGACTCACTTCATTGACTGAGCATGGGTTCTACACTATATTATTAATATCTTATTTTTTTGTCAGATCGTTTGAATGATTCTCGGCCAATAAGAAAATTTGCTCGACATTTGCGGTACCCTGGTCTCCCACCATATGATGCCGGATCTCCAATGTACGTATTAGCGAAACTCGCTAGATAGGAAGTCTTAGAGAAGGAAGGAAATAGGATAAATCTGTGAATTCCACAACGACTTTGGATCCCAATAATTTGTTCCCTTGTTTCACCGGAGCAGACGGGGCCTATGAGCACAGGACCATGTTGTGTTATACCTTCGATGAAACTTGAGGAAAAGACTAATCGAATGACTCGATTTCTCTCATTAGTTTCCAATTCCGAACCACTTCTGCTAAAGCCGCAACACTATTTTGGGAATTCCGCAACCCTTACTTCTTCCATGCCCCCTCGCCCTTCAAGGGCGAAGTTATTAGTTTTCATGCCCTTAACTTTGGCAATGATGGACAATAATGCTTCCCATGTTCAGATTTACCAGGAATTCAGGTGTAAGGTACAAAAAACATCTCAACGAAGCGAAAAATACCGTCACAGAGATTCCCCATGACAAATAAAGGGCGTCTTTTGTCTTTCATCTTATTTTTTTTTCGGCGAAGGAAAGGGGTTGCCTCAAGGCGTGTTTAAAAGGGGAAGGACCTCTAACGTATGCCGTAAATTATATTGGTGATATTACTTTATTTCAAGACAGTGAAATTAGCATTATAAATGGAAGTCGGATGTGACCTGCATAAGCACGACAGAAGACTGAGCGATAAGAGTGCGAAATTAAAAACCTTGCCGTCAGGAGAATACAGGAAATGCCCCAGCAAGAAGTTACGGAATTCACCGATGGTTCATTTTCCGATCGGACAATCCCGCAACATCTGCACTGCTGATACTAAAGGAGTTATGCATGTCAATCACTTCTTACTCCGTCCTAAAACTAACAAAGGACTGAATGGATGTGCACTCTACATTACCACATGTCCTAAAATATTGATAGTTATATATAATGTCAGACTCATGTCGAACAATCGGACTCTCGCTATGGAGCACGGCGTTCAGCCAAGTGGAACACCTTGCTTCTGTTCGCTCGTCATTATATAGCAAGTTGAGATGAAAGAGATTGCGATCACAGTGATGGTACTGTACACATAGCACTATCCATTAAACTAGATAGGTACTGATTGAGGTTCTTACAGGAAAATGACACAGCATGTTATGTAAAATTTGCCCTACATCGGTCTTGGAGTTTATGCAGTAGCAAGAACGCCAGCTTTTAAGATAGGACTTAGTAAAGCAAATGGCAGCCCTGCGTTTAACATCTTCCTGCTATGATGTGCTATCGTATCTTATGAAAGAGAGTTCACTCACTTGGAGATCGGTGATTGGAATGAACGCATCAACGTTGACGGTAAAGAAACCAGAGGAAACCCATCCTTGAGCTTCGTTGTACAATTCAAGGGCTATTCGGTGCATGCCACCCTATAACGAAAGATTTGCACTGATGTTCAGTTTTTAACTTAAAAAATACTCGGAGTTGGTCTAAGTAGTAATGCTTCGACAAAGAAGGGTCAATGATTTTATCACTCCCATCCGTCACTCTATTTATGGTTAGGGGTGAGGTGGAAATGAGGTCAAAAAGGAACTCATTTTCCATACGTATAGTGAGGTGAGGTATTAAGAAATCAGTTTTGTTTTATTTTTTTCTCCACGGAAATTCAAAATCTGGTGCACCTTGAGCTGAAGGCAGAACCTCCCAGGCCCGCCACTGAGGTTGGAGGAGACTGGGGTGGGCAGTGTAAAACATGGCAAATAATTAAGAACCGTTTCTTCAATACCCCCAACCTCAAAAACGGGACTGCTTCAAAAGCTACAATGGAAAAAAGAATGCTAATTATTCAACATTTGCATGACAATCATTAGAGCCCGTTTCTTTTGGCATCCGTATGAAGAGCTGCCCTACTAAACGCATGACAAAGGTGTTTTATTCGTTTGCCAAGCATTCAGGTATGGTTCTTTGGATTCCTAAGTGTACATACTAGCCAGTACCAGGTCAAAAATCGATTAATCAAATGTTACTTATTATCGGCAAATGAGCTGGTGATCCAAGCGATCTCCATTAATTCTTGCCTACGTGCATCCGCGCTTGTGCGTGATTACGCGCACTACAGTTGATTCGCCAACTTTGCCTATAAAATATCACCTTTCTTCAGAGCAATACGATAGGCAAATAGGACCAAGAGGCTCAAAGCCTATGACTACACCATAGATCTGGAATCTCAAGCAACACCTCTCCCTCTCTTAAACTAAGAAGAAGGCTCCTTAAATGGAATGCATTTCAGTGTGATCATGACCATTCTGACTCAACTGAAATTTCACTTTAATGCGAAACAGTCACTACCATCTACATGATTTTCTCGCAGAATGAGCCATGGAACAAGATGCAACACATCATAACATTATTTCTACTAAAGAGCATGTCGTTATTGACGTCTTTATTACCCTACAGCAAGATGAAGTGGACAGAATTCTCAACTTACTACCGTTCATGGAGCAGTTGTGCTTCAGAGACCAATGGATGCAATTTAAGCGACTTCGATTGGCATTCTTTTCAGCTTAAACGCGAATATTGCCTATCTTGCACGAATTAATTTATGTGAATATCCGCTAAGCGCTCAATTAGCTTTGTAATTAACATTCTATTAACCCAGATTTCGAAGTAATAAAAAAAACACTTATTACTGGACACAATTGCATTTAGCTGAAATGCCGAAGAAACTGAATTTATAGATATTGATACAGACAGTTATACTCCTCAGATGCAATGAATCGTCTTAAGAAGGTGCTCAATGAAATCTCCAGGGTTTTTAGAGTGTTCTGGAGTGCATTAAACTTCAACTCATAACTTTGAACTTGTCAAAACGCAATAGCGGTAATGCTTTATAGTACAAGGATTGAAATGACAATGTGAGGGTTAAAGTATACTGCACGGGTAGCTGACTAAGCCGGTATCTGTTCCTGATGCTTTGCGGACAGAAACATTCAGCAGGCATGTGGGCATAGGGTAACTTGGGGGAATATGACCATTGGGGTAATATGGCCCTTCATAATGAATCCCCTTACAAACTGAATAATTAATTTGGGCGAATTTTAAAAATAGTTTCATCGAAGAGTATATGTAATTGTTGACATGTTTAGACCCGTTCATTGATCAAGTTCTTACAGGAATTCGGGATACATCGATGTCTTGAAATTCATTTGCATGCTATTCTTTGATTCATGATCCTGAAACTAATATGAGCCTTGAGCAACTTAAGCGCATATTTTTTAATAACAACATGAATACAGAAACCACTTCTTCAAAGTTATTCTATGGTCTCTCCAGAATGTTTGTGCAAAGTGCTAGCCCCTTCACTTGAGGTTTGCAGACAGTGTTGCCATGCAAGCCAATATGGGGGAATATCGCCATCTCGATTTGGGGTAATATGGACACATCCTTCATTTCATGTTAGCATCGCACTGACTTATTGTAGTATCAGCTTCTTTTCATGTGGGATCTTAGGCTGTAAAGGATCATCCAATGCAATTACTCTGGATATATGGATAGATTTGTTTGTTCCCTCTCAAAAAACGCAATAGCCGCTCCAGGATGACAGGTCAAAAGATGGGAAAGGCCATTATGTTCTCATAAACCCACCTGAGATGCTTGAGTAGTATGGCTGGGGGGGGGGGAAAGAGACGTTCGTGGAAGGGCAGGGCTGTCATATGTTGAAGTCTTGTGATTTTTTTATTACTTGAGACGTCCAGGAAAGCTCTTATTTCATTTCTATAATATACATGTATTCTAATACATTCCATATGACACAATCTATATTCATTTTCTTGGAAGCTTGTCAGAGTCTCCAGAACATATAAAAAAATGAAGAGAATGAATGCAATGAAATAATTATGAGAGGAAGTGAATAAGAATTATGGCTAAGAATAGCTTGAAAGAAGACCATTGCAGTACTCTATCAATTACTATGGTTTGCAATCATATAGGGAGTTCCCAAAACAGGCATCGAAGGGCAGCTTTGCTGACAACTAGCGAGCACTGCCGAAGGAGGTGTGTTCCTTTTCTTGTTCTTCATCATCGTCACCACTTGAAGAATCCTCTTTGAGAGAGATGATGAACGGTTCAAGTTCCTCCTCCATGCGTTGGTCTAAAATATAATATTTCTTCTCCAAATCCTCACAATGTGCCACATACTTTTCCCAGTCCTGTGCTGTGATCCTATCGTAAGCTTCCTTGATTCGATGGAAAAAGCCGATAGACGTGAAGAGGGGGTTATGCCTAGCGACTTAGCTCTCAAGACTTGCCCGCACCATCTCTATGGGATTGAAAATGCAGTGCTAAGGTGGTAGTCGAACAACTTTGTGCTCAGCGAACTCAGCGGCGCGATCGACCGTATACACTTGCTCCATTTTTTCCCACTCTTCTTAATCATATCAAGGAGTACCGATTTCACCGGTGCAGGATTAGGCACAGAGATGCCCTTCTTATGCATGTAACTAATGATGTCACTTTTTAGGGATGCTTGGGTGGGTGGCTTCTCAAGGATTCTTGAGTGGTAAGGAACATTGTCCATCACTCTGACTGTATCAGGGGGAAGAGCTGGAAGTAACCGTCCCTGAAACCATTTCTCGAACATTTCTCAGAATTCATGTCATTGTAGTAGTGGCATCTTTCAAACTCTTGTTCGAGACCATCAAGCATCCATCCACAAACCCAGCCTTTCCCCCAGCATGCAGTATGAGTAGGCGTTTTCCCATTGTAGCCGGAACATCCACAACACACTGGTCTGAACCGTCACTCCAGAGTTTAGATGGAACAATGTGGGTATCGAACCAAGTTTCGTCCAGATACACAATGCTTCTCCCTTGTGCTCTCACCTGGGTTATTTGTCTCAGGAAACGATGCCGAAGAGTCAAAATTCGAGGTGCTTCCATTATCACTTTCCTGCGATTGTACACACAGTACCTAATGTTTGAGAAGACGATATCGCGTTGTTCATTCATAAGGAAATGCATCAGGGGTTCCAGCTGTGAATGTTTTCAAGCGATCGAGAAACATGTCTATAGTAGGGATGGTCTTCTTGAAGCAAAATTCAAAAAAGGTTTGTCTCGCCAAGTTTAAGGTAAAAAGAATCAAGTCGATGGAAGCGATTGGATAACCGCCGCTTCTTTGAAGGGGTTTCACGGATATCTTCAGAATATATTTTCTCCGCAATCTTCCTCCTCCCAATTCCAGTCGCATCTGAAGTTCTTTGATTTACTGAAGGGATTCTACGGAAGGGTTGACCTTTTTTTCTCCGCTTCCATGAATTGATGCACGTTCTTTACTACCTGAGCCACCTGATTTTGAATAGAAATTCCCTGCTTGAAGGAGTGAGGAGAGACATAGCCTTTTGGAGTCAGTGAGGTTGTTGGAGAAAGGTTCAGAGTCGATGAATTTCTGTCCGGAATTTCGCCTCCCAAATTGAGGAGGTGACCAGGATGATTGCGGGCACTCTGTGGTGGTTCCTGGCCTGGTACAGGTACGGAATTCCTCTAAGCAGCTTCACACCATGGGCGCAACATGTCAGACGAAGTAGAGATGCGTGTGCTTCCAAAGGAAAATCAATATAATGACCGCCTGCTAATCTGAATTTGAACCAACTTGGACCCCCGACAACCCTGACCTGTCATTCCACCTCCATTGCCATATTTGACGAGTTCCTAATTAGCACCTTGTAAAAAAAATCCCCTTGCCCTCTCTGTCGGCAAATTCTCCACCCCCATCCATCAATTCTTATATCAGACAGCTAGTGCAGATTTAGTATGCAAGTAAATATCCCTTGTACAAAAAGTTAAAAGGGCATTCTATTATTTTTTGGCACTATTTATGTGTACATGCAAAACAACGCTGTGTTTTTCCTGCAAAGTAAGACCTCTTATTTTACACTCGTAATGCATGTTCACTTTAATTTATGATTGATCACTCCTCTCACACCCACAGTTTCTAGATACAGTCTCCCAATCACGTGCAATGCTACTTGAAGCCAAAAGCGTTTCAATCCTGCTTTCCACAACAAGTCCTTGCATCAGGTAATGATGTCGACTTCTTTGCTAGTCCTCAATGCAGTTATTGTTTTTCTTTTCAACTGCTGAGCCTCCCTAATTATGTTTCAAGGTACTCAGCATGTTCCAGCATATTTCACACGTACCCGGAAAACCTTGGGTTTTTTTTTTGTTGAGAAGTGGCCATATTCCCCCAACAATACTGGTAATATGCCTCTTGGGACCAACTTGGAAAATATCCAAAGGCGCAAAATCCATGCGGTTTTTCCGCTTGTGCCTTGCTGGGATTTAGTAAAGGAGACTTGAATCAGTATTTTAGAAGCATTGTAAATGTCCAATTTGACCTTCATGGGCCGTTATGACCAGGTTTCATTTTGTAGAGCCATATTCCCTCAAATTACCCTATTCATGTGCGCCACTGTCCATAAATAAGGGCAATCTCTAAAATCAATAGGTTCGACTGTCTCTGGATTAAAGTTTCAGTAGTCAGCGTGGCACAAAGGCCTATTGGCCGGCCTGTACAACTGCACATTTGACTCGTGTCCAGGAAGGACCCACCTAAGACTAGTTTAACCCTTTCGCAGCGGATGGCCACTGCAGTCTCCCACGATTCTATTACCTCTTCAAAATTTACGCAGCAAAAGGGCTAATGATTGAATTGGTTCAGATGATATTCAGAGTCATAGCATGTTATTCCTTACCTGTTCGAAGCGCTTCTCCATTCTGGTAATATTAGGGTTGAACTTGTCCTCAACGACGAATTCGGCCAGAATGGTGCCATTCTCTTCTCTGAATCTATATTTTGTTACAACTCCTGCAATAACGAAAAGAAAGACGAATGTGAACAGTGCTTGGGCAGTTACGAAGAATCATTCATACTGCTACCTTTCTCAAATCAATATCCAATGCTATTTTTCTCTAAATGCATGTCAAATTAAGCAAGTTTTACTTCATGAACAGCAAAACCGAATCGCTGCTATGTGTAACTTTTCCCTGCGTTTCGGTCCGAGGGGGCAATGCTTCAAAACTGCATGATGTTCTGGAATATTAGCTCATCCTCCTCTCTTGCAGAGGAAGCAGGAAACATAGCGGCTCTGGTCCTTGCATGAAATCAAAGCATATATTCGCGTGAGTGAGGCAGACAGTTGTGGAGATTCGAGGGGCAAGCATACTCGGCTCTGCAAATGATAGTCGCCATTGTGGACCATAGAGTAGCCAGATGTTGACCCATGCTAACGTCTCAAATTACTGTACTGAAACTGTTTTCTCATCCCGAAAGAGCTCATAATTCTTCGTGGCTACACAAATAATGGTGACGCTAAAAATCGCCTTTACCACTGGTGAATTGGGGAAGAAACACGATGGGATAGCGGAGAGGGAAAACGGTGCCGTTCTCTCCGTAGCCAGGCCTCAGAGTTCCATTGCCATCGATGAAATTCACTGCCATGCTCACATTTTGAATAGCGCTCCAAATTTCCAGCTGGAGAGGTAAGCATTCGACACAGAATGACCGCCCACATTCATGAACCAAAACCCCACCTTATGCATGTATTGTACGAAAAATGATAGATTTCTCTGCTTACCTGCACTGCCACACCGTTGACCTTCAATGGAACCTCAATATATGATATGGGATTTGATATATTCACTCCGACCGTGTACAAAGATCGAGTCGTTCCAGTGGCAGGCGTATAAACTCTGGAAATGAGGAGCTTATTCGAGTCCACAGTTTGGTTGGATGTGTTGCCGTTACCGAAGTCCCATTTTGCTACAGCGGCAGTTGGAGGGATTGTGCATGATGAACAGTTCAATCCAAAAGTTAATGAACCTGCAAAAGCATGCATTTATGGAAACTATTAAGGAAACCATGTGATTTGCATGATTTTATAAAGGAAGAGAAAGAATGGGAGAATTGGACAACATACCTGGAGGACTCAAAAGAATCCCATTTGTGAGTCCAGAGACAATTCCAAGGGACCAGTTGCCTTCCAGAGGAGAAAGAACTTGAAACGTGACAGACACTGTTTGAAAATTAGGACGGCCAGCGAGGTCTCCGTCTGTGTTCCTCACTTCGACGGTGACGTTCTTTACTCCAGCGGAGGCGTAAGAGTGATTGAATCTGTACAATTTCCCTGGGTCGTCCTGATCGACTATGAATATCAAGGGGAGAAAAACAGTATTTTGAATCTCCTCGTGCTGAAGACCCAAGAACATGAACTCGAAGGCAAAAATAAATGGTTACTGGTCATTTCCAGAGTGGCTATGCCCCCATCATCCCAGTAGACATAAACAAGAGCCGGAGCACCCGAATCCATCTTGATGCTCACTTCTATATTTTCCCTCAGAGAAAACAGGGAAAACATCGCAGGACTGACGATCTGTCGGCAAAACATAAATGCATTATGCTTGACGGTTGGTCAGGCGTAAACAAAATATTATGTTCAGTCAATTACGTTCTTCTGATCATATTGACTCTTTTGTTTGGGTGTGAAGTCAAATAATATCCTCATCAGGGCTGAAGTGTCACCTAATTCTTTCTTATGAACACCATCCTCTAGCAAGGTATTACCAATAGGAAACTGCTAATTTCTAAAACTGGTCATCCAGTGTGGAGACCCAATTGAAGACTTTCCGTCAAACTGAGTCGTTCTTTATTGAACTCGTTAATTGATTAACAGAAGACAAAAGAAAAGGAGTGAGCGAAACGGGAGTCACGAGAGGCTCTTTATACCACCTGCGAGCTTGAGTCTGTTGCCCAGAATCGCAACACTGGAAGAAGTTTCTGGACCTGCTCGAGCCGCAACCCCGTTAAGTTGCGATAGGCAGTTTTGATAATGTATGCAGGAATATATGATGTATTGATTACTTGATGGATAACCGGATTACTGGCCTCCCACGTTCCATAAAATTACGAGCAAGATCACTCTGAATATTTCACTACTGTAATTTTTTCTCACATCTTGATAATGCGATTAATGTCTGTGATTCACCTTTAGATTAGTGATGCGAATGTATGGGTCGATGGAGATGTCATAGAATGGAGATGCAATCCAGCCCTGGATTTCGTTGTAGACCTTCAGTGCCACACTGTAGTTCCCGCCCTAGAAAAAATCCACTCCGCAATGATCAATCTTACGATCTTCTTTCAGGCGGATTTAGGAGGTAAACATTTTTTTTCTGTGAGTCTCGCATTTATACACAATACAGTGACATGGTAAGGAATGCGAATATGTTCGCATGGATGCGAGTGTTGGGCGTTACATCATTAAATTTCGGAAGCACATGCTTAAATTCATTCATGATATTTGTACCACGAACTTGATATTCTGTCTACCCTTTCTTGATATATTCCATTCAGTTACGAATAATACTATGTGACCTTACGTTTCCCATTATCACATACATTTTCGAAACGTTTCATACCTTCATGATCTCTCCTGGACAAGATACAATGCGTTTTGATTACAATTTTACAGGGTGGGAAGACATAACAGAAAATTTTGGAAGTATGATGTCTTCCATATAAACATGAAATGAAGAGCCGAAAGGTATACGAGGGTTGTCTGAAAAGTTCTCTGTATTGATTTTTCAAATGAGTTACACTCGATGAATCTTTATTAAACTTCGGTGAGCCCTGGTTATATCTAATAGTATTCACTGTGCGAAGCTCGGTATAAATTTATATTGTCCAGCTTACGAGATGATCCGGAAGTGGTCAAAGCTCTTCCTAGAGGGGAAGACGAACCTTGAAGATGAGCCACGAAGTGGGCGATCACTTTCCTGTCATCCGCCATTGCTGTTGATCCTCTGTCAGGAGGTGAGGCACCACTTTGCTGAGACCTTCTTGCCCAGTTCTACAGTGACGATGCGATGAGCGGTATCGGGTGAGAGGTCCAGCTCATATGCTATCTGCCTGGTGGTGATTCGGCGGTCTTCTTGAAGGAGGTTAGCGAATTGCGGGACTTTTGCTGGTGTTGAAGCAGAAACTGGTCGACCATTTCGTGGCTCATCTTCGAGGTCCGTCTTCACCTCTAGGAAGAGCTTTGACCACTTTCGGATCGTCTCGTTAGCTGGACAGTGTTGGCCCAAAGCTATTGACATCAGTTGATGGATTTCTGTCGGTGTGTTGTTGAGCAGAACAAGGAACTAGATAACTTGATAGAATGTCATGTTTCGAGAATGATTCTTGCACGACGGAAGCGTTCATAGTGACTGCATGCAATATCCGGCTGCGAGTGTAAATGGGGCTAAATTTATACCAAACTTCGCACAGTGAATACTATTAATATAACCAGGGCTCACCGAAACTTAATAAAGATTCATCGAGTGTAACTGATTTGAAAAATCAATAATAGTAGTAATAGAACCTTCCTTCTTTCATAGAAAATATATTTTGTGGAATTATGTAAGAGATGAACTGGTCTATAGGTGAATATCACTTTCCCTCACTTTTAACCGACAGTGACGGGAATATTTTCTCATTCCGTGTGGAGCTCGAGACATTTTTGGAAGATTTCTTGCAGATTCCGACATTGCCATTCAGCCCTTCAAATGATAATGGGGCTGACTCATCTTGGGAAAAGGTAATTGGCACAACATTAGTTACTTGTCAGTCATTAGTACATCCGGTCACTCACCTTGGAAAAATTCACGTTGATTATATCGAGAGTTGGATTGAATTTGTCTGTCACGTTGAATGCAGCTAAAACAGTCCCGTTGTAGAGTATCAGCTCGTACTTGGCTATGACACCTGAAATGGAACCCGTTTTGTAGCTGTCTGTCTCTTGTCAGACTCAAGTATGTTTATGTGGCTAAATCCTCAGAATTTTTTCTTTTGATGTCTGATTACATGTATGAGTGCAAGTGTTTCTACTCTAAATTGTTCATTCAATAAATAGGGGATGGGTGCTGACATTTCTTCAGAATCTTTTGTAAACTTCCAACTTAGAGACGGATTATTCCAGACGTTAATTCAAAACTCACCTGCTGGTACGGATGGTGTGAATGAGGTTGTACATCTCAAAGGAAATATATTTCCTGTTACACCTTGCCCAGGTTCCAGACTTCCGTCAGAAGTCTTGTAATTGATAGTCATGCTGATATTCTGAATGGCCTCCCACACATTAACCTTCAGCAAGAAGAGAGGAATTACTATGAAGCTTTAATTATTGGAATAAAATAACCTGACCATGAAGCCATCTTGTGCTTTTTTGACCCACTCGAACGAGGTGCGAGAAGTACTTACATCTAAGGAGAGCTTCTGAGAAGAGATGGCGTTGGAGATGTTAACCGTAACTTGGTGCAAGGAACTTCTGCTGCCAGATCCACTCTGGATCTGGAAAGATTTTAGCATGACTAATGACTTAGAATCAGCTGTTTGGGTCGCATTGGTGACATTGTCGAGGTTCCAAGCAGCCGTCGCCGATGTTGGTAGCGTAGGACAAGTACAGGTCAGGCCAAACATCACATCTCCTGTATTAAAAAAAGGACTCAGAACTCCCTGTGTTTGCACATCAACCGTAGTGATTGAAAGTCCCAGAAATATGATCATCTTTTCCCAGGTACGAGACAGCACAGCATGCACATAATACATGAAAAAGTGGAGAAATTACATACAGACGAGTACATACATTCTGAACTTTTACATTACTTAATCACATACAACAAAGGACGATGCCCTTGGTCAGGGCATTAGACTTTGTAATGCTCTAGTTTTCTTCGACTATTGGGCAAGGGTTGGAGGAAGGCGAAGGGAAGTGTGGAGCTTTGACTCCCCAAGAGGACATCTCTTCCGGTCGGATAAGCAATCATTCCACCACTGAACCTGGGACATTCAGTGGCACCTCTCCGTGCCATCCATATCACTACAAATACAATGCATCGTCGTACGTACCGGGGGGAGACAGAACGATGCTGCTGGTTAGGCCGCTAGAGATCGTAAGATTCCAGTCGTTTTCAACAGGATTCAGGATTTCTATCTCCACTGAAGCAGCCTGAGAGTTTGCCACACCGATGAGAGCACCCTGAGTGTTTCTTGCTTCCACTGTCACGTTCTTTTTTCCATCCAAAGGGTAGGAATGATTGAACTTGTACACCAAAGTGGGATCTACCATTTCGACTGTAGTTTAGGGAAAAGAATAAGTCAAAACATGAAAACGATGAGCCACAAAAATGATATGATATACCGGGTGGACCAAAAAAAAGTTCCAAACTGTACACGCCTGCTGACGGAATACCATGAGTTATCGACAGGAAATTTAGAGAGTTTGACATGCAACATTTGCAGGTAATGTCATAAAAATTTTCAATGAAATTGCTTGTTAACCACCAGAGTAACAGCTATTCTCCTGCGCGATGTCAAAAGGGCAGGTGTGTAAAGAGGTGTGACTGACCTCAATTGAAAAGATGTTTGATCGGGTCTTCCATTCTGGTCCCCGACTACTCGCAGACGCTGTTTCCATTGGTTGATTGAATTTCTTATTGTTTTGTCATAGACAAGAGGCCAGGCTTTCTCAATTCGAGCCTTGAGTTCATCAAGTAATGTAAAAGGGGTTTTGCGTCCAGCATAAACTGGCTCCTTCAATTCGTCCCAATGTTCTGTAGTCGAGGGGATTCAAGACTGGAGAATTGGAAGGCCACTGACTTTGTGCGTGAGTATTTGAAGAAAAACACTACTGACTTCATTTGAGAAAATGAAGCCTCGACTAAAAAAACATGCGACGAATTGAAAGAGCCAGTTATGCTGGACGCAACACCCCTTTTACATTACTTGATGAACTGAAGGCTAGAATTAAGAAAGCGTGGCCTCTCGTCTATGGCTAAACAATAAGAAAGTCAATCAACCAATGGAAGCGAGTCTGCGAGTAGTCGTGAACCAGAATGGAGGACCCGATCAAACATCTCTTCAATTGAGGTCAGTCGCAACTCTTTACACACTTGTCCTTTAGACGTCGCGGGGGGGGGGGAGAATAACTGTTACTTTAGTAGTTAGCAACCAATTCCATTTACATTTTTATGACATTACCTGCAAATATTGTAGGTAACATCCTGTAAATTTCCTGTCGATAACTCTTATGATTATCCGTCTGCAGGCGTATAAAGTTCGGGATTTTTGGTGGGCCGCCCTGTATGTGAAGCATGATCTATTCAGTGAACTCTCGATAACTCGAAGTTCATGGGAAGTTCAAGTTATCGAAAATTCGAGTTATGAAGGCTTCTTAGATTCTATCAATATACACTACAGCACAAATTGTTCATATACGCTTAGGGTATTACAAAACGTATAACACCAACTCATTTCAGCATAATCACTTCAAAAAGCCAGACAGGAGAGTTAGGCGTTTTTTCGCGGCATCATCGCGCTTAACAATGTTTTCTAAATGAACGAATGCGTCGAAAATCTCAAAACTCAAACCAAAACCAGACGCGACCTCAACAGAGTTTCACATTTCAATAGCATGAGATTGTAGCCGTGGTTGACAGCGAAGTTCACGGGCACTGACTGACTGGTTGACACCAGGGTGCAGTATTGATCAAGTGCAGGAACAAGCATCCCGTGACTCATTGCAGTCTTCACTTTTCCATCTGATCAGGGTGGGAACCGAAGGCATGAATCATTGCATTCTTGGGTTAATCGAGTCTGCAGAAAGTGTAGTTATGTTGATGGGTCATTGCATACGAACTCTACCATTTTAATATAAAATGGCGCCTGACCATCTCACATTTAGAAAAACTCTAAGCGATTGCAGTCGATCTAACATCTCAGGAAAAGAGAATCGCCTCCATCGGATCTGTGGTTAGCGTTATATCGCCCCGAAATTTGAGGGAAAACGGCAAAAACCCATTGACGCAAAATGTCCATCTCAGAAACGGTTCATCGCACGGAGGCATGGAATAGCTTAAAATGGAGGTCTTTAATAGCTCAACAGTTCGCTCCATACATCATTCGGGATTCAATGTGATTTCAGCATCATCGTTGCTTAAAAATGTGAACTCAAGGCAATTTTCACCCCAAAAACAACTTCATGTGGTGAAGAAAAAGATCTCTCGTTACGGTAAGTTGCATTACTTTTTCACGTGCTTCAGAAAATCAAGATACTTGCTTGACGGTGTCCGCTACTCAACTGGCTCAATTTGTTGCTATGCTGTTTTTTTGCATTCCACGTTTTGCCCAATAATGCCTATCGACGTTGAGGTGAGCGACATTTTGACTATCATGATGAATTCACTTACATATAACTGCAATTTACTCAAACATCGTATAGAGCTCTGAAAGCTCTCTACGACCATATTCAGCCACTTGAAGAAAATGGCAATATTGGAATACGCAAGGTTTGAGAAATTAATTTTATTTACGAAAATGGCTCAGAAAATCATATACAGTATCGTTGGAAAGATCTGAAGCTCCCCTTCCTAATGACACTATTTTCATATCATACTCGCTCCGCCTCATTGAAAAATACTCTACCAAAGAAGACTAAAATATGAGAAAATGGCTATTTTGAAATGAAAATTTTCTATTAGGTTGTTACAAAAGCCCTGTCGGTTTTTTCTCTTTCTTTGCGGTTCAAGGTCGTATGAACTCTGCATCCCAAAAGGTACATGCGTACCAAGTTTCAGATTTCTAATTTCTCTAGAACATGGATAGAATTAGCGTCAGTCATTCAGTCACTCAGTCAGTCACGATCGTCTATATATAATAGATGCTATTGTTACATCAAACCAGTACCATCAACTAACATATGCACTATTGGAACAGGAAAAAATTACATACAATGGGTAATGGTAATTGTGGTATCAGAAAGAGGGGGAGAGGATGTTTAGACAGACTTACGTTGAAAATGATCTTTTAGTTCGATCTCGTGACCAAATCCAGATCAAAATCGGAAATCATCACATGGTTAACTTCCCTTCTAAGTTCATAAATTGATAGATGAAAAGGAAATAAGAAAGGAAGATATAGGATCTAGGAAAAGAAAGATACATTTAATATAGAGATGCTGTTTTTATTAGGTGACGTATAAAAAAATTTTTTATAGAGGACCCTCAACATTTCATCACTAACCATGTTATGGGGGAAAAACGTAGGTATGTAGGATTTGAAGTTATGTTCAGTCACAGATTGCGACTAACAGTTCCTTGGACTAAGTGGAAAGAAATATTTTGTAAATAGCACAAAGTAACTTACTGGTCGTTTCCAGAATGGCTGCGCCTCCGTCACCCCAGTTGATGTAGATGAGAGCAGGAGAACCTGAATCCATCTTTATATTCATTTCTACCACCTCTCCAGTGGCAAATCCCGCGTTCGCCACAGGAATGATGATCTATTCATAACACACGATTCAGAGTCATGCCCTCCATAAGCTGGGAACTGAAACTGGGAAAAATTTTACAGTCACTAAAAGTTCTTGCTGCCAGTGACGGGTCGTGATATTAATCAGTAGTGGATCATCTATGGTATTAGGCAAGTTGCCTCTTTGACGATCCTCTACTTCTGCAGCTGCCCATCATTGCCACCATGGGACATGTAGCTGTTTCCAAAGGCAAAATTTAAAATTTCACTTCAAAGATGGAGCGTATTGTCACACGATAGCTCTATTGTTATATTCGGGGAGGTTTAGTAAATCGGGATCATAGAATGTTATCCAGAGTAAGTTGATTCCCATATCCTCGTCTGACCTGGTGCACACAATTGTGGATGCATACGAATACTCGTATATCCGACATTTTCCAAGCGAAAGTAAATGACTTTGGGCTAATGTCCTCTCACCACTATTATTTCCAATGAAAGAGTCTTCATATGACAACTTACGAGTTTTTCAACGACTCTCGCAGTGGAAATATCAAGATGGCTGCAAATAACAAGATGCCTCGTGGGCCTGAGCCAGCACCACGTCATAAATTTTCCTTTTTCATCATGTTAGTGTTTCGTTGAAAATAACATCAATCGTACTATGTTAACATATTCTTAATCACAACTACTCCACTATAATTTCTTTCTTAAATCTTCACAGTAATGAGATGCGGTGCTTTAAAAATGTGTTCACCTATTTCTACATTGGGTCTCAGAGTTTTCTTTTTATTGTTAATTTTGAATTTTAAAAAAGTGGACATTTGGACACAAGCTACAGCAACTCAGTAGTTCTATTCTTTCAAATGGAAAAAGTTGTCCTCAGATGACATTTTGAATAGGCTGAATGAGAGTGACGTCGACTTTGCCAGTGACGATAGCCTTCTCGATCGCTATTATGATCAATTAGTTCAATTAGTCTCACGCAAGGCGAACGCAGCCCGGTACAGAAAGGAAGGATGCGAGGGAAAGACAATAATTAGATTCATTGCATACACGGTTTCTCTCTGTGCCCTAAAAGAACAAAACTGTTCCGAAGAATTTCAGACTGCAGGCTGAGATTTACAAAGCATGAAAGAGAAGAGGCGTACCCAATATAAAGAAAAAGCACAAATTACCACCAAATTAAAGTTAATCCTTGATCACGATGTAATAAGTGAAAAATGAAAAAATACAGCATGTAAAATAGTAAATATTGGTCGAAACCCATACTAGCTCGAATTCTGATGCACTTCCACTATCGACACTCCCTGCATCCTTTCGAAGCCTTCAGTCCCTATGGCCACGTGTTTAGACACATTCTTGCTTTCCAATCTATGTGTACAGGCTAAGTACACGCTTACCAAGTGTCTGTATACAGGTTTTCGAATCTACCGTGCAGGTAACAACCCAGGCAAACGTATGCCGCTCAGGACTGACGAAGATATATCCTTTTGCTAGCATACCATTCTAAACTGAAATGTCATCTAACGTTCAAATTTTCAATGTTGAATTGCGCGACAGGAGGGCTTTCTTGAGGTTGTGCTTGGTGTGCATAATCAGGAATGTGCCAAAATCTAAATCTTCCTCTTGCTGATTTCCCTTTACAATAAGGCACAGGACATTGCACCTTGAGGGACTCTTGCAATTTTGCATAATTTCCCGATCATCTTATCATCATAGTAATGCCTCAAAGAAGATCTTCCACATTTCGCAAGCGCAAGTCGGATAAGAATGGGGCGTAAAGAAGGGCTGAAATATACTCTGATGCATGAGTTCACACATGAGCATTAACGTGAGATTTATGATAAGCAGTTGAGCAGGAGATGAATATTCTTTAAGCACTGTTTTAGCAATACGTGGCACACAGTGAAAGTGAGCGGAGAATTTGTTTTACGGGCATTTTTTAGTACTCACCTGAAGATTAGTGATGGGGATGAAAGGATCGATATAGATATTGTAAAAGGTGGAAGCTTTCCAGCCCTCGATACCGTTGTAGACCTCGAGTGCAACGCTGTAGTTTCCTCCCTAAAAGATAATAGGCAACAGAGTAAGTTTTGAGCATTCCTAACCCCCACTCACGACGATGCTTCATTATAAACGCTGCATTTTACGGGCAATCAATTCGAAAAAATAACAAATCACTTCAAGTTTCCTTTCACTTCTCTCTGATCACTGATTTGCGTTGTGCCATTGGGCGGAGATGTACTTGTACAAGGTCAATTCTTTAAATCTAAATGTTGCATCGCCATATCTCTCCTTTTGACAGTCAGCAAAATCATTTAATCATTGTATAGGCCAATTTCGCAAATTCTCTGAAGCATTCGTAAATTTATTTCAGCTCCTGAGCATTTGTGGCGACAAAAATGTTACTGAGAATGAAAAGAGGGATCAACTCAAATGTTACACACGCTGATGCTATGTGCCACCAAATCACAGTGATGAGATGGGAGGTTTCATGCTATTCGAGATGAAGTACGATGAAGAAAGTCCCTGAGAAGTAGATGGCGAATGGAAAGTTGGATAAACTTATTGCCTGTCGCTGAATATGTAATTTTAAACTCACTGTTGGGAAATTCAAGTTGATTGCACTGAGAGTAGGATTGAATTGGTCTGCAACGTTGGATGTAGCCAAAATAGTCCCATTGTCGAGTATCAGCCTGTACTGGGATATGACACCTGCAAAATTAATTTAAATGAGTATTAACGATTTCAAGCACAAATTAACAAATTAAACCAATTAAAAAGGATGTATGGAAATCAATAGGGGTGTTTCACATGGTCTTCTAAGGCAATCATGGAAAATGTGCAACAAACATAAGACGACTGCTCCAATGAGGAATGCTTTCACTGTGTGCTCACTTTTTACTCTCCAAACGCTCGGAATTTTCTAAGAGTGTAGATATAGTTGGCCTAACCTCAACCAAGAGTTAAGATACCGGTTCCATTTCCTAGACCACGGATGGACCCTCTACTGGAACGGAGTCAACGCGACCGTGTTTGCTCAGGCTGGAGTAGGGATACTCATTAGTCCCCAACTGGCCGAAAGCGTCATTGAATGGAACCCAGTCAGCGAGCGTGCCGCTCTGATCCACCTGAGATTGGAGCAAGTCGGAGTCTTGGCCGTCGTTCAGGTCTACGGGCTGAACAGCGAGCCCGATTACGATGCGTTTTTGGAGGTGGATGGAACCGTAGAAAGGATTCCAAACGGCGACCGCGTTGTGCTGATGGGGGACTTCAATGCACGAGCTGGGAGAGACGATGCTGCATGGAGTGGTGTGATCGGTCGATTTGGGGAAGCCACGCTGAACGGGAGTGGCAGAAAGTTTCTGGACGTCTGTGCTGGCAATGGCCTGACCATCACCAACACCTTCTTCCAGCACAAAGATATCCACAAGTTTACCTGGCACAGGGGGTCTGATAGTCGGACTGGTACTGTGTGCCAGCAATCGCTGATCGATTACATGAACGTTTCGGCGGACCTGTGGGGCCTTTGTGACGGATACGAGGGTGTGGCGTGGGGCAGAACTGAGCCCCAATCATCATCTAATGGTCGGCAAACTTCGGATACGAGCGAATCTCAGAACGAGGCAGAGACAAAATTTGTTTTTCGGGAACCAAAACTCTCGGTTTTTAAGAGTGTTTATCTCCCCACCCTCACCTATGGTCAGGAACTTTGGGTAATGACCGAAAGCACCAGATCGCGAATACAAGCTGCCCAAATGAGGTTCTTGCATCGAGTGGCTGGCGTAACGCGTCGTGATCGGATGCGGAACTCTGCCATCCGCGAGAGTCTCCACGTCGAGCAGCTGCTTCTCCGGATCGAGAGGTCTCAGGCCAGGTGGTTCCGTCACGTCTGCCCCTGAAAGGCTCCCGAGAGGAGTCTTCCGGGCCGAGATGACCGGCAAAAGACCTGTCGGTAGACCTCGTACGAGGTGGAGTGATCACGTCGCTCGGCTTTGTCACGAGAGGCTCGGCATCCCACCGGCTGAGCTTGAGTCTGTTGCCCAGGATCGAGATCACCGGAGGACGCTCCTGGGAATGCTCGAACCGCGACCCCATTAAGTTGGGAATAGCGGCTAAGAAAATGTATATACAGTATATATGTATGAAATGGAGGCACTTTTTGGATCCTTGAAGCTTCCTGACTGCGTCGTTCGAATTTCGAAATTTAAAATCATTGGATGATATTCGAAGCCCAGGACTGGAGATGAAGGGAAGTTGGAGTTATAGGAATAAGACTTGAGAGGAGAGAAAGATGCACGTGGTTTGCTTATGTGATCATCCTTAGGAAAGTTGGCTGATAAAAATGTCATAGAAGATTTTCGAATTTACTCTCTTATTACTCACCAAATGCTCCCTCATCGCTCGTATTGAAGTGAACACCTTGAAGTTCTTCGCCAGGCCCCTAGATGGCGGTAAGGGTCTCGCTTTTCGCACAGTACTCAAAAGTTCCTTTCTCTCTTTCCCTGGAATCGTCCCTTGC